CTACAGTAGCTACAGCAGCTACAGCTGCAGCTACAGCTACAGCTATAGCTAGAGCTATAGCTATAGCTACATCTAGTTTTGGAGATTGATCTAGAAATTGATCTAGAGCCGATGTATAGGTAGATCTACAGTCAGTTCTAGTAGATTGATGGACCAGACCTTTTACTCTCTGGTGCTCTTGTCAACTTTAGTTGTTTCTGCTGATTAGTGCTGCCTTCTACAAGGTGTCTGGAACTGTACAAAGCGTTCACATTGGCATCACAATCTTTGGTTCTGCTGTCTGGTCATTTGTATGTATTATTAGGGATTTCTGTTGAAGTAGCAAATATCTCATTTTTGTAATCTCAGTACTACTACTAGTACTTGTAGATCACCAAATTACTAAGTAGTAGCCTATGTAGTTCATGGAATGGATTAGTAGTCATGCTTTTTTAAGGGACAATTATCTGTAGACTTTGTAATGACACAATTTTTATCAATTATGACTTGTGGTCTAGAGTTGTTTTTAATAAAGTTACCACTTGAAAAAGCAATGTATATATTTCATCTATCGTATAATATATATGACACAAATATTTCATAATTAGTATGAAATATATCATGATTGGACGACTTCTGACCCACCATAGAAAATATCTACTAGTATGGTATGAATGTTAGAACTAGTAAATATCTTGTCAAATGCAGGTATGCTACTCTACCACTGGTATTTGTAGTTCTAATAGTACGGTACATACATCTCATTCCTTTCTATCATGGATGCTTTCATAAGAATCATGGAAGGCAAAACATTTTAAAAAAAGACTAAAACAGTTTTGACTGTAATTTGTTTGCTTCAGCGGATGGGGGGTCTGGGGGGTTGGATGTTGAAGAAACATGGTATACTCATCTTTTTAGTCATATTAGCGCCGGTAGGGTTTTGAACTATGAAACATCGTAAAACAATAAAGTTACGGGAATGAGATGCCAGCTTATATAACTGATTACTGGTGGCACCAATGATTGTTCGAACCATGGTTGGAAATCACAATAAAAATGCTAACAAAAAGCACGAAGTGATGAAATCGGGCGTTTGTACAAACGATCATCGATGCTTCACACGTACAAGTACATACGTAGTAAAAATCACTCGTACGATACAATTGAGTCTAACAAATGAAGCACCAATGATTGTTTGAACCATGGTCAGAAATCACAATAAAAATGCTAACAAAAAGCACAGAGTGATGAAATCAAGCATCGATGCTTGCTTCATACAGTACATATTAATAAGATAAATGATACAAATGTATTTTCTACCATAGTTTTCTGTGTATTTTTTAACGCTCCTATTTCCATACCCCCAATATTCAGTGGTACGTAAAATTTTTCATGTACTTTCAGACTGAGCTGGCAGGTGTACGTGTATTATTTTATTTACTACTGTGATCTCTTAATATGTAGCATTTCCGACCGCACAGCTGCAAAGTAAGAGATACAAAAAATGATACATTTGCACCAATGCAGCTCGTCAGCTCACAATCCATTCATTATTCATTTAGTATTGAACCATCTTCAATCCAACACGACCACAGTCCATGACTACTCCAATTGTATATACCTTGAGAGAAAAAGATTTAGTAGTAGTTAACCAGTAGTACATGTAGTACTGAAGCTACAACAACTACTAGTATTACTATTTCTGGTACAAATTCTGTTTTTCACATAGTAGTATTACTAGCTGGAGCTGGAGCTGGAGCTGGAGCTGGAGCTGGAGCTGGAGCTGGAGCTGGAGCTGGAGCTGGAGCTGGAGCTGGAGCTGGAGCTGGAGCTGG